ACAACGTTGCCATCGTCTCCCTCAGGTCCGTCAAATCAAGGGGTACTATTCGTGTAAAAGCAATGCGGTGGTTTCTATGCTACCTACTAAAATTTGATTTCCTACGTGATCCTACTTATCTGTTTTCCTTTATCTGTATATATGCGTTGGTTTCTGATAAAAATAAGAGTTTTATATATACATAAATGTTAAAGGTATGAACAAAGTTTGTTTTGAAAAGGGTATGAACCAAGTTTTAATGGAAACAAAAGCAATCAATTTTCTAACATATTATTTCAAGGGGGACTTTTTCTTTTACAAAGTTCAATGTTTGATGATGATCAATTTGAAATGTGAGACAAGCTTGGTTGTTATTTTATAGCAGTTTACCAAACGCTTATCTAAGTAAGCGCTTACCAAGTCATGTTACTTTACCGGATGAATATGGTAAGGAGCAAGAATCTTACCCGATAAGAGGGACACAAGAACCGAAAGTCTTACACGGTAAGTGAGAGCGACGACTGTTACCATAGTAAGCGTTTACTGGTAAATTGTTGCATACGATGCCGTTTTGATGGACTAAAAAACAATATATACATCACAGAATTGATGTTTATAAAAAAATCTTCATTTAACTCCAATAAAAAAATATTCAAACAAACCAAAGGGCCTTTAGCCTAGTGGTATTGTAGTCTTTGGCCTCCTAAGAGGTCAGAGGTTCAATGGTGAGAAGAATGTGTGAGTTTATTTGTTGCATTTGCTGTATATAAATATTATATTAATTGTTTGTGTTTTTTTTTTAACATGAACAATTTGTTCCAAACATGTCATGACACATCTGAAATGTGTCTTTTAGCAAAGCAAATCACTGGTCCAGCTCATTGGTGCATGTATTGTTCTTGTAATCTCCATGTTCTATGTTTCTTATGGTATAAAAGCAAAAGCAAGCATTATGCCCCTTTGTCAACATCAATGATTCATAGCTACATATTTTAATCACTAATTCCACAATTATTTATCATAAGCTCAAAATTGATCTTCCTTGTTTGCATTTTGTCACAGTTTTTTTTTATTAACCTGGATATCCAACCTGCTATGCAAGCTGACTAATCCCAGGACGACCACCTACTTTGCAAATAGCCTGAAGTTACTGCATTTGAACCTCCATGATCACAAAAGAAACATTTGAGTACGCTGTGTCGGCACCTCCATCTTCTCCGATGGGCGGTGGCCTTTCCCCACACTTGCAAGTGGGTTGTGATACATCTGAAATAGAATACCAATTTAGAAGAATAATATATATATATATATATATATATATATATATATATATATTTCATTTTAATGGACCCAATTAATCTTTTTCCAGGTGTGGATAAGAAAATCAATTTTAGGAAAATTCATATAAGCCTCCATCGTAGGAGATGAAGACCCGACCACAACGAGTTGATCAATGTTGATGATTTTATTGAATCATCAGGGTGTTTGTATAATTGGACTCACAAAATAATAAAAAGGTTAATAATTAAGCTAAAAGCCTAAAATACAATTCAAAAGGTGCGGAGTGTACACTCATATAAGCTAGCTAGAATTCAGGATCACCGAATTTTGCCAAATGACGAGAGTCAAGGGGGAAACGCTTCTTGTGGTGGCACCCCTGACACTATGTCAGTATCAATTAGATTCCAGTGGTTATTCATCAGTGTTTTGGTAACGTAAATAGGTTATTAATGACGCTGATGAATACGTTATCAGTGACACTACTGTATATCTGTACATACATAACGGCATTGAACATGTAGTGCTTTTAACCTATTTTGGGAGTAGATGAAAAATATGTATAAATATTCTTATCCTTGAACCCTACAAATATAAAAAGAAAAAAAATATGCAATGTTTTCTATCACATAAATTGGGATATTGCATAGTGGATAAGGTGTCCCGTTGACTTTGACATTTTAATGACATAAATTTGAAAAATAAATTCATGTCAATCGAACACGAAACATCATTAATTTGACCATCATTTTAATAAAAAAAAGCATAAGATAACGTTATTTAATGAACTTAAAATATAATTAACGGTAGAAGAAAATATTTGCGATGTTGAAACGTTATTCGGTTAAAAGTCGTATTCTATTGATTTGAAATCTTTTTTTATTATTTTTATAGTAAATCTTTTTTAATCATTATGGTTTTCACTTTGTTTCGAATTTGGTCCATCTATTTACCATTTTGTTACAGATTTGGTTCATCTTGTTAACTCTGTTAGAAAAACTTAGTTAAGTTGCTGACAGTTTTGTTTTTGTCCTTTTTTATTGTTTAGATAAATTTTAAAATGGGTACAACCGAATGATAAATCAAACCTCACCTCAAGAGTCCGGCAACCCCTGAACCTAATCCCAAACCCTTAATCTCCCTTTCCGGTCATGTTATCCGACAATCCCAAATTTGAACCAAAACCCACCACTAACATTTTTATGCCCCTTTTTGTCTTGTCATGACCAGTGCACCACCATCATCACCATCCAAGAACATAAAACAAAATGAATATAAACCAACAATTTTAGAAATAAAAAAATTGGTTATAAAAATCATAAAATGTAAATAAATAAGGGGCCAAAATGTATACATTAAAACTTCATGGGCCAAATACGAAACATATTCCAACTCCTATCTTTTCACTTGTGACAACTTTCGAAGTCGATTTTTGATGTCAACCTCCGACTTCAATTTTCAACGTCAAACCCCACTTCCATCCACCACCCACCATCACTCTCTTCCTCTTTCACCCATTTTCATTTATTAGGAATGCTCATGGGTTGGGTTGATCGAGTTAAAAATATTTGAATAACCCAACCCAATGCTTGCGGTTTGGAAAAATCTTAACCCAACCAACCCAAAGTGCAACCCAGCCCAACCCATATGGGTTGGTCGGGTTGATATTTTTGTATATTAAAATATTCTTCTCACATTGAATATGTTATTTCTCTACTCATAATTTATTTTTCATCATCAACCATTTGATACAACTTATTCATATTTCTTACGTATATCACATTCAGTTAATTTTCTCAATTTACATATATRTGTTCACAGTTACTGAACATATATATGAATGAGTTATATAGAGATATGAATAGATTGAAAATATGTGTATATGAAAAGCATACATGATAGTGTAATTGTCTTATATATATATTAATAGAATTTCAACAATCATATTAAATCAAAGAAATAAAAGGATATCGGGTTCATCGGGAGTTGGATTCAAATAATAGTAACCCAATATCTACGGTTTGACAATTTTACAACTCGATTATACATCGAATTACTTCGGATTAAGTTATTTCGTATTGGATTGGTTTGATCGGATTGGTCGGATTTTTGAGCACACCTACCATCCACCACCCACCAACACCCTTTCCCACCACCTGCATTTTGAAAAAAAACCACCCTGGATCCGCACCACTATTGTGAACTTACCCCACCACCATCAGCGTATCCCAAAGTGGTGTGGCTACTGTTAAACAAAAACCACACAGGGGATGGGGGTTTCACAAACTTCACCGTCGACATCAACCCATTTTTAAAAACAAAAAATAATATTCAAATGATGAAAGGGAAAAAATACCCTTGAGAGTTTAACGAATTAACATAAAGTGCATGCCACAAAGACCAAATCCGTAAGAAATGAAGTTTGAGAACCAACTTCATAGAAACCAACATACCATAGGGACCAAATCTGTAATTTACTCTAGCATTTTAAGGAGGGAATGCCGATTATAATCTTTGAGTAAATTGTGGATTTGGTCCCTATGGTTTACCGATATTTATGCAAACTAGTTCGTAGACTTCATTTATTATGGATTTGGTCCCTATGGTTTACCGATATTTATGCAAACTAGTCCGTAGACTTCATTTATTATGGATTTGGTGCCTATGGTATACATTTCTGTTGGATTTGGTCCTTCACCTAATGACCGTGTACCAGGTTTGTTAAAGTCGAGGGCATAAGGGCCTTTTTTAATTTTTCATTTTTTTATAACATTTTTAATCAACTTTTTTAAATCAGGGGTAATATTGAATATATCAAAACTTGGAGGGTCAAAACATTAAAGTTACATATTACACACATGTATGTATGTATGTATGTATGTATGTATGTATGTATGTATGCATGCATGCATGCATGTATGTATGTATACATACACACATACATATAGGAACATTTACAAGGATGAAGACCCTTTGTGAAACCACCCACTATTGTAAACCCACGACCCAGTTTGGTCACTGTAGAGAAGAAAGAAAAAGGAGGGCCATGGCTACTATAAAAAGCAAGGGATGGGGGAGTCCTGACTACAAATCCAAGGGGGAACATCGGAGAACAACTTGGGGAATAGGGTCTTCGACGGAGCTCTCTCACCAGGATAGACGAAGGGTGAGAGAGAGGGGAAAAAAGATATGGTAAGTGCGTACGAGAGATCTCTCATCGAAGTAGAGCTGTGGCGTCGATTTTTTTTTAATCAGAATAGGTAGCGGTGGGGACAAAGGTTCCTGCAAGTACTTAGTAGTGATTATGTATATATATACATACATACATACATATATAATTAATATGTACCTTAGTTTTAATATGCATATTTGGCCCTTCAAGTTTTAAAATCTACATTTTGGCCCCTAGTTTGAAAATGTAAATTAAAATCGTTAAAGTAGATTAAAATAGCAAAAAGACTATTTTGCCCTTGAGCTTAACGGACTTTATAAATGACTGTTAGGACGAATGACTAAATCCAACAGAAAATGCATACCACACACGCCAAATCCATGATAAATGAAATGTAAAGACCGTTTTCGTAAAAATCAGCAAACAACATAACCAAATTCGTATTTTACTCTAAATTCTTTTACAAACAAACAATTTTCCTATGTATTTTCAAGTATCACGTGATGTTCACGTGTTCTTTAGACTCCACATCCACCACTTATATAATGTATGATTTTTCTTTGTTGTCTTCACCCCCTTCAGGATCGAAACGAGTCCATTTTGCGCTCTCTCTCTCTCTCTCCCCCTCGGAAAAGCAGCGAAATTTTCTCAAGGTTTCCGCCATTGTTCCTAAATATATGCATTTGCAATCGTGTGTGTTGATTCGTGATCGCTAAAAAACCTATCTTTGTTTGAAGATCATCTCTCCGACAGGAGGAGAATCTTCGCCTCCAGCAGGTATGCAATCTAAGAATTACTTTTTGATGTTATTGAGACGAGTATATTATCATTCTTATCATATTTGTAGTGATTGATTTGTTTCTGGTTTCAATCGTCGTGGTGGAAAGGAAAGGGGATGCTAGTGAATTGAATTTGTTGTACATTTTGTTTTTAATCATTGTTATATATGGTATGGTTTCTGTGAATTGTTTTCTGGTCTTTGATATGATTACACTATCATAGAGAAAATGTTGGAATTTGAGATGGCAAGACAGTTAGAATTTTAAAATTACTTGTACTAAGTGGCCGTATACCAAATGCCGGTGAAAGCGAGACAAGGAATAAGAGTCTTATCACTCTTACCACGGTCGCTTATCGGGTAAATTATTGCATACAATCGACTAAAATCTTAAATGATAATGTTAAATTTTACCGGTAAGTCGCTTACCGAGTAAATGTTTGATAATCGGTCCCTTAGTCTGCGCAATCTTTTATTCATTAATTTATCTCGGAGTCTGATGAATAAAATACATACTTTGAGTTATCGTTTCTTCAATTTATGAAGCAAATAAATGAACAATTGTAACAAGCCATATCTCTATATGGTTCTTTAGCTTTGATAGTTACATTTCGCATTGACTTTCTACAGTATGTAATATGTATTTATTTGCCTGCTTGCTTGAGGCTTAGGTGTTTTTCAAATAATTAGGCAATTATCAACAATTTATTGATGGGTCTATACAATCTTTTAGCTCTGATATACTCTTAAAAATATTAAACTATATCTAAGAAATGTAATACTGCACTACAGTTTTGAACTCTTACTTCTTTTGAAGCAGTTACTGTCTTCTGTCTGAACAATTACAGTTTAATTGATTAATCTTCTTTTGTTTTGGGTTTCCAAATGTGGTTTTGTAAAGGATGAGATAGTTCTGACCTCAATAGTAACAAAGTCTTCCAGCGCTTCAAATCCTGTACTACCTTTCTCATCATGATGGGGTGTTTCAGCTTTCCGGCCAGAAAACCATCGGGAAAACAGTCACAGAAGGGAAAACATCTTCCTCGGCATGAGGACCCAAAGATTCTTGCTTCTCAAACAGCTTGTAAGTTGATTTTTGTCTCTTTAATGTCATTCAACATTGTCCACCTTGATTTATATATGTCAGACATGTTTGCCTGTGTTAGCTTCTGTTTCATTTTTTTGTTCCATGTGAATTAAATTCCGGAGTTCGATGATGATGAAGCTGGGTAGAAAATAAATAGCAAAAATAAGATAAAGGAAAGAATGTGTGATACACATTATTAGGATGGTTGCTTGGTCATCCCTAATAGAGGAAAAAAAAGAAAAATAAAAAAAACATCATTCGCTATTTTTGTAACCTTTGACGTCTGAGTATCATTGTGGTAAACTGCAGGTGAGGAATAAAATGAGGAAAAATAGGTTTAGAAAAGAGAACATCACATGAATTCTTTACTTCTTTTACTTCCCTAGTATATTCATGCTGGACCACAGACACATCTTTAATTTTTTATATATCTGTAGCAATATTCACAGGGTTAACTTTCTTTTTTTCTTATATTTCTAATATATCTTTCTACTTTAATACATAGTTTAATATATTTTCATTATAGGGACAGTAATCAAAGCATTTAAGCCCTGGAGATGATATCGAGTTTGCATGCTTGATTCAATTCTTTGTGAAAATCATTTGGCATTTCTCAGAGTTCTATATTCTCTACGACCACTATTGCAGCTTACAACAAAGTTTTTGGTCTATCCACCCTGAATATATGTTTCCTTAGCCAATGATTTAAAATCCCAGGCGGCAGTGGTTTGGTAACCTTTGGCTGCAGCATATTGTACCTTTAACGCAGAAAGTGACAACCAATAGGTTGGCAACATGAGTCTCCCCATTCTCCTCCTTCTACATAGTTTAAACTGGCAATGATCCAACCCAACTCAGATCAATTCAGTTCCTTAGAACTGGCTCAGTAGGCTGGGTGCCAGGGGCTGAAGTGGTTATTTGTCTCTAGTTCTTACAGAATATGTAATTTTGTGCGTAGCCTTGCTAATTCTGACACTGAATTTCATGAATATCTTTGATTAATGTATAATTGATAATAATAATAATGCATTTCATGAATATGCTTGTTGGATGAGAAACTAATTTTTCCTGGTTGGCAAGTGCCTGGTGTAATAAGGTCCTATGATTGCTGAGTTCATCCCCTGGTAGTTTTCTTATTTTATTATTATTCCCCTGGGTATGCTCTGGCTCTTAATGGATGAAGCTTTTTTTTGGGTACTATGTCAGTCTGTAAGTCCTGTCTCAAATTATTCAGAAGTGCTTCTTTATTGATTTAATGAATAATTTCACTTGAAAATTTTATAGTTTTCTGATATCTACCATCTTAAGTTCTCTGTTCTTTTTGTTCAGCGTTTTGGTGTAAAACTTTGGGCCATTGACTATACAAATTAATATTATTGGCTTTTATGATTGTTGTTGTGTCTCTGCAGTTAGTGTTAGTGAAGTTGAAGCACTATTTCAATTATACAAGAGCATAAGCTGTCTTGTAACTGATGATGGGCTGATCAACAAGGTAATCCACGACACTATTTCTAACGAAGACCTTAGTTCATTAGTTGACCAATATTACTCTGTTAAAATGTTATCCTTTATTGTTTTGTCATCTCCAAAGTATATACATTAAGTTTCTATTCAATATGGCAGTTTGCTAAGAAATTTAATGGTATACCTTGTACCCTCTTACTCTTACTTCTGCTGGTTTTTGTTATGTTGCTCTAACTGGGTTAAAAATTACTTGTTATTCTGGATGACATGGAAGCCCTTTTCCTTTATAGATGAATCCGAATTAAATACTACAAGTTCACTGGATATGCAGGAAGAATTCCAACTGGCTTTATTTGAGAACAGAAAGAAAGATGATATATTTGCAAGCAGGGTATGGTTTCCTGCATCCATTTCCTATTTTTTATTTAGTTATCATCATCAGTCTGAATTCTGAAATTTTTACATCTGCGCTTCTTGCCATTGCTGGTTCCTGACTGGATTCAATTAACTTTAGATGGTAGTAGCTCACATTATTGTTTATATTCATTCATTAAGGTCTTAGTCACTATTAAGCATGTATTAAAATTTATGTAAAATATGTTTCTCATATGTTACTTTTCTGAGATCATGTGAATAAGTTTGAACACTTAATCTAAGGTAGGAATAAGTACATCGATGCTGAACCACCTCTTGTTAAAGAGCAAGATAAGTTGAAGGGTATAAGCTTCATAAATACATAGAGAGAGAGAGAGTGTGTGTGTGTGTGTGTTAAAAGTGCTTATCAGTTATTTTCACTTCCTGTTTATGTACTATGGGCCAATATAGAAGTCGAAGAACAAGTATTCATGCATTAAATCAAAATATGATAACCTTGTTTCATAGCTTTTTAAGCAGGAAATTATGAGATTCATGATGTTGGCCACAGAACTACGCTCAGGTCGCACACTCTCCACTGAGTGAAGTAGAACAACACGTCCAGTATTGTGACATACAAACATACACGAGTTACAGAAACTATTGCAACATCTTTATTTTAATTAATATGTTAGCACAAGCACAAACAACATATGGCATGCACGATGGAAATGCTGGTGTTTAGAAATATGATAGTTGGTAATGATAAACCTTCCCCCTAAGATGGAATCGACCCCCTTTGACCCAAATTTGAAGTCAACACTTGGCTTTTAAAATTTGAGTTGGTACTTCACAACTTCGAACTTGACCCCAATATCTTGATTTTGTATCCCCAAAATGTTAATAGGGAATTGAACAGTATTAGTTAAAGTAGTTATGGCAAGAGATTTTTTTCTTTAATCAATTTAACGTTACAAAGTAATCCATTTACCGTCAAAAATTAAATGCAGGCCCTTTCTGGTCGAATGAGTAGGTAGTATTTTTAAGTGTCCGTGTACTCATGGGCTAGTATATATTTTGGTACGCATGTACATGCCTATGCAATATGATTTATGTCGAGTTACAATTTATGTACGTTGTTAATCATCTTCTAATGCTTCAAAAGTTCTGTGAGCAGATCTTTGATCTTTTCGACGTGAAGAAGAAGGGGGTTATAGATTTTGGCGACTTTGTTAGGTCACTAAACGTTTTCCACCCTAATGCCCCAAAAGAAGACAAAATTAATTGTAAGCCAATCATAATAACCGGAGATTATAATCCGCAATAGCATCATCAATGTTTTTTAAATACTCTGTTTTTGTTTCAGTTTCTTTCAAGCTTTATGATATACATGGAACAGGATTCATTGAGCGCCAAGAGGTATTTACATATTTCTTCTACATTTGTTTTTCTTCATAATTTTTGATGGTTGTTCGATCAACTTATTGGCATCTTCACCATTTGCATATTTGCAGGTTAAGAAAATGTTAATTGCACTGCTATGTGAGACTGACCTGAAGCTAGCTGATGAAATCATTGAGAAAATACTGGATAATGTAAGTTTTCTTTCACTGGTTGCAGCATTATTGAGGCAACACTATTACTCAATAAGGTGTTGTTTTTGTATCCCCATAGGGACCCATACCCTCCAAGATATTAGGAGGTGAGCTGATAAACTAGTCAAAACCAACACATCAAACGAACCCTGTTCATCTACGGCCGTCCTTGGGGGCAGGCGGGGCAGGCAGCCCATAAAAAATGTTTAGTGTATAGTAGAAGTATAAAAATAGTAGATAAGAGAGGCTTAAAATTCGTTTTAGCACATAGCCGGAGAGCCAAAATTGATATAAAGAGCCCAAAAAGGAGTTTAGAAGATATGCGAGCGCAAAAAATGTATTAGTTAATCTTATTAGAATCTTTGAATTCAATCTCATTGTCACGACCTTTTGTAGAGAGACTGTTTCCGTGAAGATCTCTAGCTAGTAAAACAAAAAATAACAAGGAACAAGTATGGTAAAGTTGGGCCGATAATAGATATGTTAAGAAAGAAGAAGAAAATGTGGGGAATGGGCAAAAAGTTTTCTTTAGGTTTGTTTTGCATTTTCTTTTGAAATAGTATATCGATACTTGTCTTTCTTTTTTCCATTTCTTTGAGCAGACATTTTCCGAAATAGATGAAGGTTGTAAGGGAAAGATCGATGAATCAGAATGGCACACTTTTGTTAACCGTCATCCTTCTTTATTGAAGATTATGACTCTTCCATATCTAAGGTATATTTACGTTCTTAATTTTATGCGTACATCTTTAAGGATGGTCTTTACCGATTAAAGTGACACAAACTTTCGTCAAATGCAGGGATATTACAATCGGTTTTCCAAGCTTTTTGTTCAATTCTGAGGTCGAGGAGATCCACGATTGACAATAGACAGAATGGTCGAAATGGACGCAATGAGTTATCGTCAACTTTTAAGGATGGAATGGAACAACTGAACAGTCCTATCCCTCCAGACCCTACTTTCGAATGAGATATTATGGGTACGTTAGGTTTCAAAAGGAACCGTTCTAACAGTGGCGAAAGTATAACCCGAAACCTTCTATATCTATATGGCTGCATTGTAATGTGCTGTAGAAATAGAGATTTGGTTAAACTTGGCATTTGTTATTTCCCCTCTTTAGTGTCTTATACTTCATGTTATTGTTTCAATCTTTTTTTGTCATCCATGTAAATGAAAACTATGTGTTGAAATCATGACAAAATCTTATGATCCATTTGGTACTCGAGTACGTTGAACCGGCCTTTCAAATGTCTCGATAAGCTTTATATCCGGAAATTCATCGTAAACGCCTTATAAATTTTGAAGTAACGGTTGATTCGCGTTTCGAAATACGTCACTTTTTTGAAAAAAAAAAACTAGGATTTGATGCGGCTTGCATGAGCGTAGGATAGGGTTAAACGGGTCTTTAGTCAAACCAAAGCTTCAACGTCTTAGCATCACAACTTATAAGGGAGGATCATGCGAGAAGCTGGTAGAAGTGCGAGAAGGGCACGATAGGTCCAAAAAAGACGTGCATGACTGGTTAACGTATGCGTGAAAAGTTGCGCGTGCAATGACTAGTCAACTTTGTGTGTATGTATCATATGTGATTTACTTTAGAATCACATCTGATCTGACCCTTCTCATGAATTGACCGTCTTCTTGTTTGAAACCATCCACCCAACTTAAAATTCATAAATATGGACTCCTTATAAATGCACCATATGCTAGTGTTACTAGAGACAAGGCTAACCACACATCCACACCCACACCCACACCCTTAGCCATTGATGGGTCTAAAGCGGTTTAAAAGTTTCATGATATTTACTATATCAAACGTATTTTGACAAACTTTCAAAAAGAACTTATTAATGTAAATATCTTAAATTCAAGTTTCTAAGATATTATAAGTTATTTGAGCCATTCATTTTTTGGATTTTTAGGAGATAGGGTTATGAACGGAATGGTAAAAAGTAGTTAAAGTAATTTGAGTATTTGTTATCAGCAATTCGATTGTGTTAGTTCATGTTCATGATTGTGTTACAATCTCATGTATTATCGAGTTTAAGTTAGTTTATGTTCATGTATTCACACATGAAGAAGCATATGTTTATGTATTAGAGTATGTTCATGTATTCAATTGTAAATATATTACATGTTAGAGTATGTTCATTTATTCGCATATGAATACATGAAGATTAAGTGTTTATTTATTAGAGTATGTTCATATATTCACATATAAGTTGCATGTGAATGAATTGAGATTCACATATTCAGTTACACATATTACATGTAGCCACATAATTCAACCCATTTTGATGAGGGACAATTCATGTTCATTTCATCGACGGGGATCGGACCTATGATTTCGTGTTTGAACCATCGTCACCATCATATCATAACATCATGACTGAGTAGCCGAAGATGTTGGAGGCGAGTTCATGGAAATCAAAGACACAGAGTAGGAGTGCTGTTTTAGCAAAGGTTCACATATGTTAATATTTCATGTCAAGATATGTTAATGTATGTTAATTTATTTTTAACTTATATTACACATTTTTATGTTAACTTATGTTAACAGTTATATGCTAATATCTATTAACATTTTCTATCACGTTCTCATCATATTTTGATTTTCTACTTGATCCCTCTCTCTATGTCGGTCACTTGCCTTTGTCCATACCCGAACCTCCCGTTCCTGAGATGCATGCTAATAGTCAGCTAAACGTTAGTAAATTCATGGTTTTCGTGCATAAAGATCACTCATGATCAAGCAGATGATTATTCAACACTAAGCAAAAACAAATATCATGTATTTAATTCAAACACGCTTAACACCAAGTAAATTAGTAAATCTACCAACTTGTCTTAATACGGTAGGGATTACTTTACCTCCTTGTGATCTCTTTTATTTGGCTTTGGTGGGCACGGCCCATATCTGGCTGTTCTCCTTCATGGGACAACCTGTTTATCTTAGCAGTGTGCTTGTTGTAATTCCAACACACACTAAGACTCGTTTCATAAAACACCAAAATCGAATTTTTAACATGGCATGCTAGCAATTTTAAAATAATTAAATAATAGCATGCAAAACACATAAATAACTCCAATAAAATTGCATACATATCGATAATATTTTTCATCAAATGAAACATGCTCCAAAATAATATGTAAGATACATATGCATACATCCCACGTAGGCCCGACCCTATGGGTGGGCAGTCCGGGCAGCGGCCAGGGCATCCCAAACACAAGGGCATCAAATATCCCAATACTAATTGTATAGTCATTAAAAATTAAATGGAATTGTCACTAGAAATATTTGAACATGGATCATCTAGTTTTATCAAGAGGCTTTTATCAATGAGCTGAAAATTATTTTGTTTATATTTATCTAGATTTCGCTTTTAATACTTCGCTCCCTATTCCCCATTTTCTTTTTTTCACTTCCTCTAATTTTTAAAGTTCATTTTTGTCGTGCTTTTACAACAATAAATATTTA